CAATCAGAAATCAACAGAAGCCAATCAGAACTCACGTGGTAATAAAGAGTATATTCTGCGACTACTAACGCAAGTTCTGATTGGTTTCTGCTTTTCTGTCAAGGTGTGAATCCTTCCTAATTCGTGCCATCATATTTTGCAGTCGACACTGCCTCTCGGAACTCGGGTGACACCCGTTTGACCACTAGCCACTCGCAGCGCTTGAACAGTGGAAAAATTCTAGACGCTGACTCCTGTGAGTGGCTAGTGATCAAACAAGTGTTACCCTTGGGACGTGGTCAAACGAGTGTTAACTCATACCAGAACTCATACCAGAACTCATACCAGATTTCTGCACGAAAGTGCAGAAATTCGATAGAGATTTACCAATAAAACAGCGCGCATGATCTTCATGCGCACTGAAATCCCTAATGAAACACGTAGTCCGCGGCTAGTGCTTTAGAGTTAATAATCTCGTAAATAACATGTATAAAAGAAATAGTGGTAGATTGAGCAATTCTTTCTGCCGAACGTAACTATTGTTCTCCTTTTTATAATGTGTATGTATGTGCAGTTATCATCGATATGTATCTATTGTTTCATACCGATACAAAATATTAATCATTTGATATACTGTAAAATTATTTGCGCGTGATAAATGTCTACACTGCCAAACATGAATACTTCTACAAATCTCAAGAAACGCAGCATTCACTGTCAACCAGGTTAGTTCTATTATTGTGAGTTACAAACTATATGTTAACTGTAAATAATAACAAATTAATTGTTAAAATTGGCGACAGCAAAAATGGAAATAGACTTTAATCATGTATTATAATAATGCAACTTTAATATCTTAATTAGTTTTTCCATTTAGGACTGGTTGGAAAAAGTTGGAAATGAAGAATGCCATAAGGTCATTTATGCTTTAAGACTAGGGAAGCATAAACGACCTTGTGACATTCTTTATTTCCGACTTTTAAGATTAAGATTAAGATCGAAGTATAAATCAGCCCTTAATAACTACCATCCAGCAATTGGAAATGAATTGAAATGGATGTGGTCATTGCCAAGTCCAAATTCTTGATTTTTTGAGTCTATTTCAATCCAATTAAAGTTTAAGGATTTTTTACATCTAATTAAAGTTTATTCTTTGAATTCATGAAGTGGGAATGAAATTATGAGATTCCTATGCTGTTGATCCAAAAAAAGATTACACGAATCACGTCAATCCATTTTAATTCATGAAATGGGATTGAAACAAAGTGTTTCTTATTCTTTCAATCCAAAATGTATTAAAGTGAATTAAAATGGATTAGAAATTTTCAGTTCATTTTAATTTATTTCTGAATGCTGGGCAAAGAATATTTGTTTTAATACCTATTTATTAAGAAAATTTTAAATATGTAAAATATGTATAAAAGGCTGTATCTTTCATGAACAAATAGAGCAGATTAAGCTTGTCAAAATTGTTTTACAAACTTAGAAATAATTAATGAGATATCAATTTATAAAAATCCATAAATAGGAATATATTTTGCGTGAACAAATAATCTAACTTTATGCATGTTTATGATTATTAAATATGTGACAAGATGTTTGGAAGTATGTATTATAAATGGATTCCCTCTGTTATTTCTAAATCATATCTCCATTTGATGCTTACTAGTAATAATGGAGAGCATGTGTAACACTGAGTAAACCTTTTATATGAATCTGTTCGGTACAATCCACTTTATTCCCTAATGATACAATTATTACTATACCCTACTTAACGAAACGAATTAATACTATACTATCTGCATACGTACAGCATGTGTGTGCAGTGCATGCATATATATGTATGTGTGTGTATGGTGCGCGCGCGCGCGCGCATATATGATGTGCGCGCAGGTACACGCACCCACGCATGCACACATCCCCCTCCCATACACAATATGTACATACGTGCGCGCGCGTGCGCGTGCCCGTGCGCTTGCGTGTGGTGTGTGCATGCGTGCGCGCATGCGCGTGCGCCTTGCGCATGGCCGTGCGCTTGCATGGTGCGCGCGCGTGCTCGTGCGCGTGGTGCGTGCATGTGTTCGCGTATACGCGCGCGCGCGCGCGCGTGTGTGTGTGTGTGTGTGTGTGTGTGTGTACATCATATTAGAATTTATATAAAAAGGAAATAAAAAGGAAAGGAATTATATCGTTATGAAAGTATGAATAATATTTTATTTTATAATTTTAAATGCAATCATAATAATAGAAACCATTATAATAAAAACAATAAACTTGATAAATATTTATTTGCTTTCCAGATATTCATGTGATGGGTTGTATCGAACGAACGCAAGGAGATGGTATGGAAAATGCGACAACAGATAAGATTGAAATTAAGCAAAATCGAAGTCGTTTGGGGAACACTCTTATTTATCATCCTACAAATCTGAAACAATTAGGATCAACAGCTCCAGTCATTCCGATTGGTACAATAGTAAATCTGGTACCAAAAAATATTAATAATGTAAAGCAAGAGAAGTGCATCTTGCATTCTTTAAAATCCAAAGAGCCAAAATTTGTACCATATGAGCCCTATAAAGCAGCTGTTAATCCAATAGTACCGTTTGAAAAAAAGAACAAAAAATTGCCTAGGACTGAATCTAACATGAATGCTATGGTTGCACAAGTTGTTGCAATGAAAGTTCAAGATGATGCAAGATTGAAGGATCATATGAAAGAAAACAAAAAGAAAATATTGGTAGATGAATGGAACATCGAAAAAAGGATGTATGAGGCTGAGATTCGTAAACTGAAAGAAGAGAACAATCAACTTGAAACTCAATTAAAATTTCAAGCACAAGTAAAGGAACTAAAAATATAATTAACAAAAAATTTACTATATTATTTAGAATTTATATCATAATTTATATCTACAGGTCAATGGAGAATTAAAGAATTTGTTAGTAGCTGCAGTAGGAGAAGATCTAGAAACAAAAGTTCATTTGTTAACAGAGGACAAATTGCAACTTGCAAGAGCTCTTTTGAATTCAGCCCAAAATTTATCTACCCATCAAGAGCAAACTGAATGGCTAGCAGGCCAATGTGAAGTTTGGAGAAGTAAATTTCTAGCTAGTAGGTAATTGACAATTTCTAAGATTTTTGGAATTTTCAGTTTTTAATTTCAAATCTTAAAAATTTTTTTGTAAACATTTTTTTAAAAATATTAAAATATATATTTAGTAAATATAACAATAATTCGCTATTAAAAAATTTATTACAGCTTAATGGTGGAAGATTTGGCAAGGTGGAAAGCTGCACTTTGCCAAAGAACAACAGAACTACAAGAAGCTGTGAAACGATTATTAGAAGAACACAATATTATTCGCAATACGTCACTCAAAACATACAGGTTTTATATTTTTATATGATATTTTTTACAGATGTTATTATACAAACTTTAGTATAATAATTTTATCACAAAATTAACAAACTATATTTACTTCTTCAGAATGCTTACAATCCTACTTGAAAAATTTGATCCCATGGGAACTACCGGCAAGAAACACGAATTAGCTAGCATTAATATTGTCGATCTCGCACAGGGATGTTGTCAACTTGCAGAAATTCTGAAAGTTAGTCTCCTAAATGGTATTCCAGACTCAGAATTGCAGAAAGAGCTGAATATAACTGGTTTGGACATGAAAACGCTTACTGAGAATAATGCAGAAAAAGTAATTACTATTACTTTGATTTTTAATTCTTGTCACAAAATATAATGTAACAAGGTAATTTGTAAATTGCAGTTATTGATGAATCACAAATTACCTATGACCGAGAGAGAAGACATTGCTTGTACCGCAGTAATGGGAGCAGCAGTTGCAGTTGGTGGACAAATGTTCCTTCCGCGATGCAACACAAATAATATGGCCTGTTGTCCACATTGCAGCGGTGAAATTAAACAAAATTTAAAAATAATTTATATATCTACCTTACAATACTTTTTATACTTTATACTAACAATAACGATTATTTTTTTCAGATATAGAATACTGA